TCTTCTTCTTAAGATATTTTTCTTTTTATTTCACTGGTAAAATTTTAATTATAATGTTCCATGGTATAGAGTTCTTTAGGTTTATCCTGTTCAGGTATTCTCAGCTTCTTGAATTTGTAGGTTTTTGTCTTTCAATAATTTTTGAAACGTTTCAATCATTATGTTTCAAATGTTCTTTTTGACCAACATTCATACTTTTCTCATTCTATGACCCAAAGATAAAAATGTTGCATATTTTATTATAGTCTCACAGTGTTCTGGTTACCTAGTGCCGGTCTGACAAGAATATATACCACAAATGGGATGGCCTTAACAAACAGGAGTTTATTCTTACAATTTGGAGGCTTTAAGTCCAAGTTCAAAGTGCCAGGTTCTAGGGGCTGGTTGAAAGCCCCTCAACCTTGGGGTCCAACTCTGCCTCCTGCTTCCAGTCCACTGGAGCTAGAGGTGTTTCTTCACTCAGACAGCTGCTGGCTGCTGAGGCTGAGAAGCCCCAACGTTGACAAGTAAAAAGGCACAGTCTCGATGTTACCAAACCACACGGAGGGCCATTAACTTAAGTCCATTGTAAGTCCCAAGGTCGGCAGAGCATAGCAGGCTGCTCAACAAAGACATGGCTACATGCAGGGTTCAAGCATGCCATAAGCTAGAGACCATTTCCAAGGCTTCTCCTTAAATACAGGAAGCAGACCACATCCCAAAGGCAGCTACTCAGCTGCTTGTGGTAGTTCCCACCATGGAGTTGATTGCCAGTCTCATGGGGAATAACTACCACCAGCTACTATACAATACAATACAGTACAAACTACACAATAACTACCACAGCCACTCAACCAGGCCCAGCCAAGTTGACACACAAACATAACCATCACACACAGAAACACGTGTCTATTGACATTTTGTTTTCAGTATATTTTCTCTCTGTTGTTTGAATTGAGCAAATTACATTGATCTGTTTGCAAGTTCAATTATTCTATCATTTGTTGTCTCCACTCTAAACTGAGCACTTCCAGTGGCTTTTTTTTTTAATTTTTATAATTTATATTTGGTTCATTTTTAAAACTTGTGGTTTTTTTTCTGGGATTTTCTATTTTTTTTTTTTAAATTTGTTTCAATAGAATTTGTAATTTCTTATGAAAACTTTTTTTTCTAAGGGTAGCTATAAAATTCTCATCAGGTAATTCCAACATCTGATTCATTGAGTACTGATGTTGTTGTTGTTGTTAGGTGCCATTGAGTCTGTCCGCACTCACAGTGACACTTTGTACAACAGAATGAAACAATACCCAATCCTGTGCCATCCTCATAATATTTGCTATGCTTGAGCCCATTGTAGCAGCCACTGTGTCAATTCATTTCATTTTGGGTCTTCCCCTTTTTCACTGACCTTTTATTTTACCTAGTATGATATCCTTCTCCAGGGACTGGTCCCTTCAGACAACTTTCCCAAAGTACGTGAGACAAAGTCTGGCCATTCTTTCTTCAAAAGAGTATTCCAGTGGTACTTCTTCCAAGATATATTTGTACATTCTTCTTGCAGCCCATGGTATTTTCACTATTCTCCACCAACACCACAGTGCAGATATATAAACTCTTCCATGGTCTTATTATTTGTCCAGCTATCACATGTATATGAAACTATTAAAAAATATAGTGACTTGTGACATTTCCTGATTTTAAACATTCAGTATCCCCTTGTTTTGGTTGAAGAACTACCTCTTGGTCTGTGTACAGTTTCCTTATGAGCACGATTAAGTGTTCTGGAATACCCATTCTTTGCAATGTTATTCATAATTTGTTATGATCTACACATTCACATGCCTTTGCATTTGATATTAATTGCTATTTCTTCATTGAAACTATAGTGTTCTTAGTTTTTTGTATGTGAAATGATTTTTTTTTTTAAATATATTGTGGACATTTTGTCAAGACAAAACTCAAGAAACTGCCTGGGGTACTCTTGATCATATTTAAAACTTCCATTTTTCCTATATTCTGATCTCCATTTCTTTTTTTTTTTTTTTAATTTTCATTATTATTTGTGTGAAAATTTACAGAATAAATTGGCTTATCATTCAATGGTTGATACACATTTTTGTTTTGTGATGTTTATTGCAATCTCCATAATGTAACAGCATTCTTCTCACTTCCTCCCTGTGGCTACTGTCTCTGTTTGTTCTTCTTTTCTATCCATTCCTGCCTTCTGAGCTTTTTCCCTGGACAAATGCTGACCTTTTGATCTCTTATTGTTGATTTTTCTAGGGATTGCACATCTCCCTAGTGTTATTGCTCACCTTATAAACCTGTCTATTGTTTGGCTGAAAGTTGAGCTCCTGGGGTAAGTTCTGGGCCTGAATGGTGACTATAGACCAGTTTCAGGGTTTCCACAAGTCTCTACCAGACCACTAAGCCTGGTCTTTTTGTTATTATTATTTTGGGTTTTAGTCCACATTTTTCTCCCACTCTATTCAGAATCTCCTATTGTGATCACTTTCAGTGTGGTTGGCAGTGGTAGACAGGCACCATCTAGTTCTTCTTATCTCAGGGTCATGGAACCTGAGGTTCATGTGGTCCGCTGTTTTTTTTTTTTTTTTTGACTAATTGTTTCCATATGTCCCTTATTGTCTTCACTTTTCTTTTCTCTGGATGAGCAAAGACCAGTTGTTACACCTTAGATGGCCTCTTGCAAGCTTTGAAGACAGCAGTTGCTACTCTCTGGCCTGCTTGTGTGGACTGAGTTCCAGTAAAAGTTTAGTTTACAGAGTTCTTTCATTATTCTGATCTTCTTTGTTGTTTTGGCCCTCATGGGCTCCATCTTAATCCCTGCTGATACTATATGTGTGGGTGGAAGGTGATTCCCAAGGCCATGTGCTGTCACTTGGTCACCTTCAGGCCTAGAGGGTGGAGAGATATAATCTACCAGGCTTGAGTCCCTTATGTCACTGGGTGGAGGGCTGGAACATGTCAGGCTTTATTGATGCTACTTCTGTAGCTGAATCCACCTTTTTGTTAGTATCCCAGTTGTGGGGCAGGGATTGGTTTGCTTTGTTAGGTTTCCTGCTGCCTCTGAAGGCAGTTTCACTATGTAGTGACAAGGTTATGGAGTGAGGGTTAAGTCAACCTGCCCATGCTTTGCTGTTGCTAAAGTGGGTGGTTAAAATCACCCACCAGTCACTTATGGTGGAGCATTTTTTTGGAGGATCATTCCTGTCAGACTTTGAAGCTGTCACTGTGAGTGTATCAGCTCACAGTATCCTGGCTATAGATCTGGGACTAAATGCCTCAGTTTTTTTGCTGAGCTTCCCATACTGCCCTTTGACCAGTGAGATTAAGTTTTTTTTTTAGCCTGTTGATGGTAACAGGTGCAGACCTCTTCAGTGCTCAGTTTGAGATATATATGGGAGATGAAAAGAAAGCCCAGAGAAATCACTCTATTTCCATTCCTAAAGACCTGAGTCTCTAACCATTTTGCTTTATCTTTTCAGCTTTCAGAGTCATTTTATCACTGTACACTGAATTACTTCCAGAATATTTAAGTTGTTTATAGAGTGATGGGTCACAGAGAAGAGAAGATCTTCATCAACTTATTCTGTATCAAGAATTGGCCACAGGTTTTGGAAAAAATGTTCTTCTTAGAGAACATTAATAATGATAATAATAATTTAAAAAACCACTGTACCAAATCAATTCCACTTCATAGAGATTCCATACAACAGAGTAGAACTGCTCCATAGGGTTTCTATGGCTGTAATCTTCATGGAAGCAGACAGTTACATCTTTCTCCTGGAGAGCTTCAAAACTCCATACTTTTTAGTAAGCATCTGAGCCCTTTAACCACTTGGCCACCAGAGATCCCTAAATATGTATGTATATATACATTAAAAACAAAGAAAGAAAAAACTCTGCCATCGAGTTGATTCTGACTCCTAGTGACCCTCTTTGCGATTGTGAGGTAGTAAATCTTTACAGAAGTAGATTACCCATTCTTCCCTTTATGAAGTGGCTGGTAGGTTTTAACTGCCAACCTTCTGGTTAGCAGTCAAATGCCTTAGACACTAAGCCATGAGAGCTCCGTCTAAAGCATATAATAAAGTATAAATTATTTTGAGTAATATAATATTTCAAAGAACAATTGCTACCAGGTCTATAATTATTTATTGTGTAAATGTTTAAGTGAGGCATAGTAAGTTATATTAATTTTTGCCAAGAGCACAAATGAAGTTCTAAAGGATTTTCCAGTTTGACCAATGAGTAGAGGAACATAGGGAGAAAATAACAACTAAACAAATAATAGTTTCAAGGAGCTACATAGTAAATACTGTAAGAGAGAGAAAAAATCAAGATTTTTGTTAAAAGTAACAAAAAAGAGTGGTATTTTGTTTATCTCAAATAATATTATCAAGTAACTTTTCATTTGAAATTGTAAAAAGAGCTATTGAGATTTATAATTAATATTTATATTATGAATGTGTAAACTAAGATTCTCCCAGGAATCCAAGATATGGTCACTTTACACTTAAATACTTTTTATTTAAGCTATTTATTGTGAGAATAGTCATAGATATTCATATAGTTAGGCAACAGAATAATCAAGCTTATGTGCCCATCATACAGGTTCAATAATACCTACCTATAGTCAATCTCTCTTCTTCCTCCATCCCAAGTTTTACATCACATCATCAATGTTTAAGACCAAATCATAGAAAGTTTCTTGAGTACTGTGTTAATTCAAACACTCATCACTTTTATTCAATACTTTCTTTCTCCTGCAATGGACCTACTCATCATTACTCCCATCTACATGCTGCTTTTCTATTTTATTCTTAGTGCTGCAGCTCTGATGATCCAACTCTGCCAGAAGACAGAGCTGTAAGGATTATACACTGACCAGCTCAGAGGAAGGAGTCAGACCACCTGCAACTCAGCCTGGCCTTCTCCCCCTGGACCAATGGTTCCATGATGTTTTCTCCATAATGACTATGAAAGAAACCTGGTCACACATGAAGATCATTGTCCTGCTGCATTGGTTTGGGGTATTTCTGTCCTTTTCTGGACAAAATCAGGCTGAACACTCCCAATATCACAACTCCCCAGAGGTGGTAATTCCCTTGAAGCTATCTGGTACTAGCAGAGGTATGAATGCTCCAGGCTGGCTTTCATATAGCTTGAACATTGGAGGCCAGAGCCATATTATTCACATAAAAGTCAAAAAGGGTTTGCTATCCAGACATATGTCTGTATTTACCTACACAGAGCAGGGGGTACTCCTTGAAGACCAACCTTTTATTCAAAATGACTGCTACTACCATGGTTATGTGGAAGGGAACCTCAAGTCCATGGTAGCCCTCAGTTCCTGTTTTGGGGGTTTTCGAGGAATGCTACAGATAAATGATATTGCTTATGAAATCAAGCCCTTAATGTTTTCTCCTACATCTGAACATCTAGTATATAAGATAGACAATAATGAGACACAATTTCCATCCATGACATATGGCTTTATGCAAGAAGAAATAGCACATCAACTGGAGTTTCGAGACATGTCGAATTTTATTTTGGAGCAAAGTGCTTATGAGGACTGGTGGACCCATGTGTGGTATGTTACATATGCAGTGGTTGTAGACCATACTCTATACCTTCATTATGAAAGGAATGTATCAAAGTTACAGGAGGATATATACGATATTGTCAATATAGTTGATTCAATTTATGATGCATTGGGTGTTAACGTGCTATTGTTTGGTATTGAGATCTGGACTCATAAAAACTTTTTTTCAGTAGATAACATCAAGAATACCCTGACACAATTTTGTCAATGGAAGGTCATAAACCTTTCTCCCCGGCTACCACATAATATTATACATCTTTATACAAATAAAGGACTAAGAGGATTACCTGGTTTAGCATACCTTGGAGGAGTGTGTAAAATGAATTATAATTGTGGAATTGTTTCTTTCCTAAATGTAACCTTGAACAAGTTTGCAATTTATGTGGCCCATGAGCTCGGTCATGTTTTGGGAATGGATCATGATACAGATATGTGTACATGTGGGCAAAATTCATGCTTAATGAATTCCCGAAAAATTCCATCAACTAGTTTTAGTAACTGCAGTTATGCTTCTTGGTGGAAAACCACTATAATTCATGGAAAATGTATGCGTGATAATCCACAGACAGGAAACATTCTCATAGGGAAGCGCTGTGGTAATGGTGTGGTTGAAGAGGAAGAGGAGTGTGACTGTGGATCCTTCAAGTATTGTGCAAATGATCCTTGTTGCCTGGAAAATTGCATGCTGAGTCCTGGGGCTCTTTGTGCTTTTGGGCTTTGTTGCAAAGACTGCATGTTCTTGCCACCAGGGGAACTATGTAGACAGAAGGTCAATGAATGTGATCTTCCAGAGTGGTGCACTGGAAAATCACATCAGTGCCCTCAAGATTTATATGTGCAAGATGGGATCTCATGCTCAGAAGATGGCTACTGCTATGAAAAGAGATGCAATGACCGCAATGAACAGTGTAGGAAGATTTTTGGGAAAGAGTCCAAGAGTGCTAATCAGATATGCTACAAAGAAATTAACACAAGAGGTGATCGGTTTGGTCACTGTGGTATAAATGGTTCCACATATGTAAAATGTGCTATCTCTGATATACTGTGTGGGAGAGTTCAGTGTGAAAATGTGATACAAATTCCTACTCTAAGAGATCATACTACAATACATTTTACTAAATTCAACAGTGTCTCCTGCTGGGGCACTGACTATCATTTTGGAATGACCATACCTGATATTGGTGAAGTGAAAGATGGTACAGACTGTGGTCCAGGAAATATCTGCATTCACAGACAGTGTGTTGAAATGTCTTCTTTGAAACGTGGTTGTTCAGCTGAAATTTGTAGCATGAGAGGAATCTGCAATAATAAACATCAATGCCATTGCTATCCTGGGTGGGCTCCACCGAACTGTGTAAGAAAAGGCAATGGAGGTAGCATTGACAGTGGAATACCTCCTGAAGGAAGTGAGGGAAAAATTTCCCGGTTACTATTGTTGCCTATTTTGTTATTTCCTTTCATTTCTATTTGTGTCTTTTTTTGTTGTAAGAAGTCTAAAGAAGAACAGCAAAATGTTCAGACTCAACCACAGCAAGGAGAGCAAAAAGTTGAAACTCAGCCTCAGCAAGGAGAACAAAAAGTTGAAACTCAACCTCCTCAAGGAGAACAAAAAGTTGAAACTCAGCCTCCTCAAGGAAAACAAAAAAGTTGAGGCTAACCTCAAAAAGAGAACTAAGATGTCAAACTCAATGTTAGAAAGGAGGAACAAAGAGCTTTGACTCAGTCTGTGAAATCAAAGAAATCAGTGTTAATTCCAAGAAGCAAATCCAAACCCTAAGAAAAAAATTCTGCTACAGTTAGAAATGTTATGCCTGTCTTTAGGAGACAGTTGAAAGAAAACTCTCAAATCAATTCTCTGTCATAATGAAAAATAATTACTACTTAAAAAAATATAATCTCTAGTGTGTTTCTACTTACTGTTCATTATTTTAGATATTTGAAGGTTTATTTTTTCCTGAAAAAATAACATTTTTTTGTACTTACTGACCAAAGACATAACTCAGGGATCCTGTACAGTTTTGAAGGTGTTGTTTGTCTCTTACTTCCAATACTCCTTCCCCTTTTGTACTCTGTTTTATAATGCCTACAAACATATCTGTTTTAACAACCCTCACTGCATATTTTCTGCCAAAAGGAAGACAGAAAGCTAGAAAGCTGTTTCTTTTCTATTCATCTCCGTGTTGTCTTACTAACATCTTTCAACCTGGTAGTAGCAGTTGTTTACAATCTTCATGTCTTTTGGCTTTTTGCTTAATTACTCTCTAAATGAACTTCATTGCTGGCCTCAGAGCAACCAGCATAACTAGCCAGTGGCCTACTCTCAGAATTTTGAGTCTCAGCTCTGTGCACTGACCACCAAGGTCCCAAGCTTCCAGTACCAGTTTAAGAGTACTGATGCTCAGAATTCTGAGTCCTAAATTAAGTATGCTTTTCTTGACATTTAGTATGTTCAAATAATTCAATTCTCTTTCCTTTGCTTTCTAGCCCCATGAGTGAAATCTCCATTCTGTAAATAGTACCTTATAAGGAGTCTTTAGTCAGTAGCACAGTGTGTCCTTCAACTTGTGTTTTCAGCTACTGTTTACTCCCTTATATTTAATCATCTTCCTTAGAATCATGGGTGTGATTTTTCTTTTTCTTACTGAATCCTGACCAATAAATTATTAGTCTTTGTATAACAGAGAAAGCAGATCTCAGGAAGTGTCAAAAGTTTTTTCTGAGTGTTTCCTTACCAGTACCTTTTACCATTTTGGGAAAACTATCACTTAGTGATAGTTACTATTAAAATATAAAAAGAGAAGTCAATATTAACACTTTTCATTCAGCTTCTGCCCCCCCCCCCAATAAAAAGAATAAAGAAGAGAATTTCAATTCTAGGTAGGAGATAATAGTCTTGACAGGCCAGCGAGTCCTCTGGGAAAAAAAAAAAAAAAAACAGAAAATATCAAACACATTTTTTAAAGTGATGTTTTGAAGATATTAGAGCATATGGAACCAAAAACGGGTAGGTGATTTAAGAACTACAGAGAATGTAAACAATTCAGATTCATCAGGCATCTTTCTCCCTGAAGCACTTGAACATTCTAGGTGTAAACTGAGGGTCATGCTTGGTGCAACTAGTTAGAAGGTCTATGTTGAGAAGAATGAAGTCTGAAAATGTGTTAATAATTAAGCAAGTCAAGGATGCATAGTAAAAATGTTTGTGTTTAAATTAAATATCCATTTTCCCAAGCTATATTTGCTGAATTTAGTTCTTCTGTGGGAGTTGGGGGAGCTCTGGTGGTGTAGTGCTTAAGGCATTTGACTACTAACCAGAAGGCTGGCAGCTCAAATCCACTAGCCACTGCTTGGAAGGAAGGTTGGTCACTGTACTTCTGTAGTGATATCGCCTCGGAAACCCAAGGAGGGGTCACAGTGTGTCGGATCTGACTCAACAGCAGTGAGTTTTTGAGTAGAGGAATTTGGGAAACTAACCATAAAATTCTAAAGGGCAAAATCATCTACAATCTTATTTTATACTTAGAAAGAAAAGGCCTAGTGAAAGAGAGCTTGCTTCAAACATATGTGCTGTCTTCTATTGAAGACCTATGACTGCCTTTGAAGTAGCAAGAGACAGGAGGTGAGGGAACTGGGTTATCAAGCTCCAAGTGAAAGAACTTTGTCTCTCATGGACTTGGAGAGCTGAGAAACAGAGGCTTTTGAGCTCACAATTGAAACCCAAGAAGGTCATGATTGAATATCATGATAACATAACTGAATAAATGATAATTAGGCAAAGTCTCACTTAAACTGCACTTATCTTTGATACAATGATACAATTGTTATTATATTTAATTTTTCAGTACCTCGTGCTATCATACTAAAAGGGGAAAGATAGAAAACTCCTAAGGGAAGGTAATACCATTTGCACCTTCTATGGTTCTATTATGGAAGCTCTGTTGAGTGTCTGGGTGGTGATAATGGTTATGTGCTTGACTACGAGCCAAAAGGTTAAAAATTTGAATCCCCTCAGTGACACCTTAGAAGACAGGCCTGGTGAGCTATGCCTGAAAACTGACAGCCTAAAATCCCTATGGAGCAATTCTACTCTGTATACATGTGGTTTCCATGAGTCAATATAAACTCAGTGACAACTAATAAATAACAACAACATGGTTCTATTATACATAAGGTATAGCCTACAATACAAATTTACAGACATGCTAAAAGGCAAGAAATTATGGTCAATAATTGTTGTTATTTGCCATCCAGTCGGGCCCACCTCATAGCAACCCCTCCTTGAGAATTAAAAATAACAAGAGCAAAAGAGAAGTTGTAAGAGATATAGAACAAGATGACTATGAAAAACAACCACTATGACTAAAATTTTAATGAAAATAAAAGAAAAATGAAAAACAAATATGTGACAGAATATAGATTTTCACCAGTGAGATGTAATGTATACAAATTTATCAAAAGCATATTCTTGAATTAAAAATACAATGTCTGATTTTAAGAACTTAAGTGACTAGATTGAATTGTTGACTCCACATAGCAGAACACTGGATTTGTTAATGGGAAGAGGGGAAAATTTCAATGTGAAAAAATAGTACCAAAAAAAAAAAATAATAATAACAAGATAATTGATATATGGGATATATTGAAAGGTCTAACTAACATCCATACAATTAGTGTCCCATCTAAACATAAGAGAGAAAATTGAACAGAAGTAATATTCAAAGTTATAATGGTTGAGAATTTTCTAAAAATGAAGACAGATGTCATCAGACTGCTTTAAGAAACTCAATGAAATCCTAGAAGGATAAACCCAGAATGAAAGCAGTGCTGGGGAATTGTTAAACTATCATGTGTTTAAGATACCTGGTGCAATCTATAAAGTATACATTAAAATAAGAATAAAAGAATGCAAAAATCAATTGATAGAATGAAAACAGTATAATAAACATATTTGATTAGACACAATTATAAGGAAGAAACAAATGTAAAACATATGAAAATAGAAAAACAAGTATGATAGGTATAAACTCAATGTATAATAGACTACATAAACCAAGTAAAAAGATTGAGATATTTCAGATTGAATAAAATAAAAATTCAGCATTATGCTGCTTTTAAGAGATATGATTTAAAAATAATGACACAGATAGAATTAAAAAAAAAAAAAACAGTCCATTTGTCATTAAGTCTATTTTGACTCATAATAACCCAAGCTTGTCAGAGTAAAACTGTGATCCACACAGTTTTCAACGGCTGATTTTTCAATAGTTTGCAAGCTTCTCTTATGTTCCTCTAGGTGGACTCAAACAATTATCCTTCTAGTTTACAGCCAAAACATTGTTTCTGGGTGGTACAAATGGATAGTACAACCCCTTAACCTAACCTCTTGCTGTTGAATCAGTTCTGAATCATGGTGACCCCATGTGTTACAGAGCATAATGGCTCCATGAGGTTTCCTTGGCTGTGCTCTTTATGGAAGTTGTTTGCCAGACTTTCCTTTAACAAACAACACAAAAATTTGGAATTTTTTATAAAATGCAAATGCTAACCAAAAGAGGACTAGAGTCGTTATGTAAATATTAGATAATGAAGAATTTAAGGCAACAAGTATTACTTGTTGAAATAAAGAGGAAGATTTTGTAATGGTAAAAAATCTATCCATCAGGATGATATCTCAATCCTAAATGTATATGCACTAACTAACATAATATCAAAATATAGAAGAAAAATCATTGAAATAAACAAGTCCACAATCATAGAGAGAGACTTTTAGTACACTTCTTTCACTAGTGATAAAAAAGAGAGAAAATAATAAATGGTTCATGAAAAGATCTTAGAAGTCAATTGGCCAATGACTTAATAGACATACAGAATTAAAAAAAAATAAAAAAATAAAAAATCCACACCCGCTACTGTGGAGTCAGTTATGACTCATTCCGCCCCTGTAGGATAGAGTAGAGCTGTGCCATAGGCTTTTCAGAGATATAAATTATTATGTAAGCAGACAGCTATATGTTTCTCCCATGGAACAGCTGGTCGGTTTGAACTGCTAACTTTTTGGTTAGGAGTTGAATATTTTAAACATTTTGTCACCAGGATTCTATTACATGTAATACAATTAAAACAAACAAACAAACAATCATCACTGCTGTCAAGTCAGATCTGACACATGGTGAACCCTCCTTAGGCTTCCAAGGTGGTATCACTGTGGAAGTAGATTGCCCAACCCTCCTTCTGAGGAGTGGCTGGTGGGTTTGAACCACCAGCCTTCTGGTTAGCAGCTAAATGTCTTAGGCACTATACCACCAGAGCTCCCATACATGGAATATTACACTTAAAATGTCAGAATTCACCTTCATTCAACCATATTTGAAGTATTCATCAAAGTCTACCGTATATTGGACCCAAAATAAAGTCTCTATGAATTTCAAGTTTTAAATAATAAACAGTATTGTAAGTAACCACAACAGAATTATACTAGAACTCACCAGCTACTCCTCAGAAGAAGATGGGGCAATCTACTTCCATAGTGGTCCTGCCTCGGAAACCCAAGGAGCGGTTGCTATGAGTCGGGTCCGACTCCATGGCACATAATAAAAACAACAATAACAGAATTCAGTAGCATACAACAATAAGTAGAAAAACTACACATTA